AGGATTCAGCCTATTCACTTTTGAACCTGTTTTAATTTTAAATTTTTATCCATGAATAAATATCTAGGGCGGGTGGGAGGAGATATAGAAAGGAGTACTCTCCAACGTATTTAAGTTGATCTCCTACTATCTCCAGTTTTTTAGTTAGTATTCTTATTTTTTACTACACACTGGTGTGTGACGGACAGCAGACGGGGTGAACCCCATAGTCACAACGACCTGCTGTTCAGTGGGGGTAACTGGTAACCTAAGCCGCGAGACTTGGAGTGGTAAACCACATAAGGCCCTGCTACCACCACTCATTTCTGGCTTTTNATTCGGAGCCAATGGTCTACTCCCAACTATTCACATGCAACTGTCAGTCAACTGGTTTGATCGTATCCAAATACGCTTATGTGAATTCCATTGGGGCTGTACTGGAAGATACCTGCAATGATAGAGTATATTCTATCATTTCAACTTTCTTAATCAATCACTGAACCGATCAAATCAGTACTTCAAACTGTTAAACTCCTGTAGCAGTTCAACAGATGGCAATTGTTATCACATTTGTCCAGTCAATTTCCAGATAAAAATTTACTCATTGTGATGCATTTATTGAAAAAGGCGTGCTCCGGGATACGTGATCATTGTCCTGCTCCAGACTGATTTTACCAGTGCTTCACCCCCCCTCCTCCATCCAAAAAAGAAGAACAAACTCTGTTTCTAGCAAACATCATCATAAGGTTGTGTACACCCACATACCGACAGAACACCCCTGTGTTAAAGACAGCTGATGGTATGGCGGCTTCCGAGTGGTCCCGTCGAACATCGGATGCGAACACAAATCGGCAAACAAGCAAATCTTCGGGGTTTTGAACTTAGGCCAGTTTAACGCAATATATATATGTATATATATAATGTGATAATATAATAAATGCAATTGAAGGTGAAAAGAAATAAACGGGCAATCAATTCAAATCACCAGTAGTTTGGGTTACCTTTGGTCTCCACTTTGATTGTGGGTTTCTTGGAATACACCAGTGACACACATTGAATGAAAACTGCAGTTTAGCGCAACCAGCTTTTTTTTGGTTACCTCTCAACCGGCAAATATATTATATTTTATAGCACATATCATTTTGCATAGAAAAGAGGAAACAAAATTAATGATTATTCAAACGGGGATTGTTGTTTTCTGTCTCTGTTTCACAAAACCGGATATGGCTGATCCTACCGTCGGAATTTGGGCTTGGTTCGTGTTACTTGTACGATTTTGAGGTGCGATTGGGAGCGGAAGGTGGAGGGCCATGGTCTGTTGGTAGGTGACTTCACAGTGTGAAAAGATCTAAACTACCGGTGTGGCCCCGTAGCTCAGCTGGTAGAGCGTACGCGGACAAAGCGTAGGCGACATCCATGCGTGGGGGGTCGAATCCCACCGAGGCTACTGAACATTTTTACAATCGACATAACAATTTCACAAATTGTTTATGGGCGCACAACGGGGAGGGGGATTATGTAGTAGACGTATTCTAACCGCCATTGCGGTGGCTACGATGTGGTTTTTAATTGGCTTTAATCTGCGACCTCGAACACGGTAGAGATGTCGAAATGCCTCGGTCACACTCACTGAAGCGATGTCACTTGTAATAGTTTTAATCACATCAGTGTTTAGCCAGGATGATGTTCCGGAACTCCTATTAGCCAATTGATGAGTCAGCTTAAAAAGCTTATTCGCTAAACTGCAATTTTCATTCAATGTGGGCTTGGTTAAGAGTTAATTCTCGTTTGTTCCAATGTTTCATTGGTTCTTCTTCCCAGAGAATGTTTACATATTGATTAATGATAATTTTTACTAGGCCTTATTCAAGGATCAGGGAGTAAATGCGGAGGGCTGGGGAGGGGTACCGTTCCATTTTAGAAGGGATTGTTTATGAGATCAAGGGAAGGTGTTAATCGGTGTACAGACCACTATACACGAAGAAAAATCACTACATAATCAAATTAAATCCCGCAATGCTTTCGAGTCATTGAATAGTCATGGAACACTGATAAGATTTAAGTTACATTACACATTCTATCACATTTACATGATAGACCAGGAAATTCTAACGCATAAACCCTATTTTCCGCTTCTAATCTTTATTCTTTGATGTTCTCAACGATTCATTCGGAACTGAAATTTTGCTTTCACTTTGGTCTCAGATGAGCAACAGTGATGGTGTGGTAGTCATTGTCATCGATTGGATTTTAAAATGAGTTCCCTATATCTAGACTATATAGTGAATTATCATAGCTTTTGGGCGTTTGTGATATGCGACCAAAACCGCACCACCTACTATCTCTCTCTCTCTCTTTCTCCTTCTTGACATTATCAATTCTATCTTTATCAACCTGTCTTTTCCGATCGATAGTATCACCAACTAACCGCTCTCGGAATCAATCTTTCTTTGCTCTAAGCAACGAGCATTTCTCATGATCCCTAGTTCTAAGGTCAGCTTGATGAATGCGAATTTCTCCGGGGCACTCAACTGAAGACCCAGGGGAAATATGACTTTAGAATGACCCTTTATCTGGTATATCAGGCTATCGCAAATACTAGTTGAGCAGGAGGAAAAATAAAACAATTGACTATAAAGACAGCGAATCCGTTTTCTTTTTCAGCCCATTTTGAAATAAATAAAACACATAAAACTACTCTAAAAAATGTTACTCAATGGACAAACTACATTCCTTACCGGATTCACCAATTGTTTTCCCCCAGAGCGATGGGGGGAAGGTGTGTGTGTGGGGGGGGGGCAGGGAGCAATGTGATGCTTGCCCAGTGTCTATCTCTATATCTCTGTTCCCTATCCTCTACGTTTTCAGGTTACCAGAAACATTGCAAATACAGAACACATGATCAAAAACACAACCACTTTTTTATTTCGGGGAAACTCAGAGAAATTAGTTTAAAATTTGCACAGTTTACGTAATCATGCATGCACTCGCTCTCTGTCTGCTCCGTCACAACCACTCTGTCTATTCGAAATCCGGTCCGCACCGCAAACCCGGATCATTTGTGCACCGCATCATTCCGGGATTAACAGTCACCACCTACCGGTGGCGGTGGACGGGAGAACCAGTGGGGGCCATTTTTATCGTCCTGGCTAAGGAAGCATGTGGTACAGCAGAATAGACCAATAAGGAGTAGTAGGATTAGGGCGAGTAGTACAATGACCGATGCGATCAGTGCGGTTAGTATACCATCGCCGGACAACAGTGATGTGCTCCCGGATCGAACGGAACTGACTGCTTTGGCAATTTTGCTAATCAGACTTTGTTCCTCCTGATCTGTCTTGTTCACCGCCTCGGTCACATCGGATGCCGCAATCGCGGTCATTGCGTAAGTGAGAACTGGAAAGGAGAATCAAATCAGATTTGGATCGATAGGACTGCGGATGCATTGCCCATTAGGGAACAACTGGGTTTATTTTGTACCCGGTAGGGGTGGGGGTAAATGCACTACCACACATGGAGCGCATAGAAAATGGATATCTTGTTTTGCGGGTTCTGTAAAAACGAACACAAACTAATTCAGAGACAGTCGTGACCTGTGCCTCAATCAGAAATTATCAAACAATCCAATGAATTACAGTTCATTTGAAATCAGTCTGAAATAGGATGAATTTTTGTGTGAATGTGAGCAAAAAAACCCACAGATTATTTGTTTGTTTCCACCTGGTACAAATCATTGTGGTGGAAGTATGGGGAAAAATTAGCGTATGGTGTGTTTCTAAATGTTTCTGCACAACGCAAAGAACTCGTTCGATGACCACCTTGAAGAATTGGCTAGAACTAAGGGGACTGACGGAAATTTTTACACCGTAACAGATAAATTACGGTCAGTGATAGTTTCAGAGTTAGGCGTCTTCTGAAAGGTAGAATTCTATGTTATATGACTTGGTATCTCATTGTATTTTTTAACACAACCTTCCATAGCACGTATGACTGTCTGGGTGCAAACAAATGTGTACAGTTTGATCATGCACTACTTAAAAGAGCCCGTAGTAGTAGTAATAGTAGTATAGGGTTGATGACATTTAATTAGTGAATTTGAAAATAGTGCAATGAAAACTCTCCTTAGTGAGGGATATTTTTGTTTAAAGAGAAACGGCCAGGACAGATGGAGACAAACCCTACTTGATTGCTCTCTCATTCCAAACCAGACATCGTTGAACAATTATGAGGAGTTATTTTTTACAAAAGTTTGAAAAGATTCTCCGGTAAAAATCGGAACTCGATTGAAAGTTTGACTATGAAATGTCTTAGACACTTTGATTTAGTCGGACGACCAATTATCGGGGAGCCTATGGGCATAGTGCAGTCGCCTTTCGGGCCCCAGACTACGAAAAGATGAAAGAGTGAATGAGCGAGCGAGCGATAGTTTGTTTCTGTACTTCAAACAAAAATAATACAAAAACACAAATCTACTAGACTGAATAAACATTTTTGGCTGAACGAGACAAAAAGGAAACACTTTGACAATTATTTCCGGTTGTCTACTCGAAATAGTCCTTGCATGTTAAAATAATTTGGAGTGTTCCACCTTTATTTGGTTCACATCCCTTTTTTGTTTAACTGCTTTGTTTAGTGTGAACACAGAGCTCGAAAATGAA